ATCATCTTGTACAGAGGAGTGAGGCATAGCAAAGTGATTCCTAGAACTATTTCTCAAAGAGGCTGTTTTTTTTCCTCCAACATGTAGTTTTGGAATCTCTGCTTAAAATCAGTTGGCTTTAGCTGCACAAGTTTATATCTGCATCTTTGTTTCTATTCATTGAATTATGCTTCTGTTTTTCTTATAGTAGTAGCACACTGCATTTGTCGCTGTGGCTACAAAATATAACAGTAAGCCAAATACAGTAATATCTCCAGATTTATTATTTTTGCATAGGATTTCTATGGCTATCCAGGGCTATTGATGTTTCCATATGAATTTTAGCCTGACTTTCTGTTTGTATGAAGAATGGTATTTCTTTTTATTGGAATTGGATTGAATCTGAGATTATATTTGATAAGATGGATATTTTTACAATAGTAATTCTTCCAATCCATGAGAATTAAATAGCTAGTGTCTTCCTCAATTTATTTCTTTAGTGTTTTGATGATTTTGCTGTAGAAATTAGATTTATTCAAAGATTTTTGAGACATTTATGAATGCAATTGTTTCTCTGATTTCTTTCTGAGTATGTGTTTCACTGGTATATAGAAAGGCTACAGAATTTTGCATGTTAACTTTGTTTTATTGGCTTTTAATTCTTTGAATTTTGTATAGGTGTTTTTCTGTGTGTATAACTATACATTGTGGGGGAGTGCATGCACACACACACACACACACACACACACACACACACACACACACCAAAAGTGCACATCACATCCTTTGGGACTGGAATTGCAGATGGTTGTGACCCAGCATGTGGATGCTGGGAATAGAACATGGGTCTTTGGAAGAATAGCCAGTGATCCTAATTGATCAGCCATCTCTCCAGCCTTGTATGTTAATTTTGTATCCTGCCACTTTGCTGAAAGAGTTTTCTTTAGGAGTCGGTGTCAGTGGTTCTCAATCTTCCTAATGCTATAGCCTTTTAATACAGTTCCTCATGTTGAGGTGGCTCCCAACTGTAGTGCGAATAATAAAATCCCAGAGACAGAGAACAGGGGTTCAACCTGAAGATCAGAAAAGCAAAACAGCCATCCACTGATTGTTACACCTACCACAGACTGAAAAAGTGATCCTGCATCCAGGAATCTCAGAATTAGACTGAGCCTGATACCTGTCTCCTTGTGTCTTATATTCCTCCCTAGAGCTGGGATTAAAGGCATGTACCATTACTGCCTGGCTTCTATTGCTAACTATTGTGTCTACTAGGATTAAAGGTGTGTGACACCACTTCCTGGTGTGTATGAATGACTAGTGGGGCTGTTTCACTCTCTGATCTTCAGGCAAGCTTTATTTATTAAAATACAACAAATGAAATATTACAACATTCAACCATAAAATTATTTCATTGCTACTTCATAACTGTAATTTTGTTACAGTTATGAATTATAATGTTAATATCTAATATGCAGGATATCTGATATATGACCCACAAAGGGGTCATGACTCACAGGTTGAGAACCATTGCTTTAGAATATTATCTATAGAATCATATCTAAAAATAAGGATTTTTATCATCCCAAAATAAGAATATTTTCACTTTTTCCTTTGCTAATTGTATTATTTTGTTTTTATCTTGTGTTAATATTTTACTTAAAATGGTAAGCACTATATTGAGTTGGCACAGAGGAAGTAGACAGGAATGTCTCTTTTCTGATCTTCATGGAAATATTTCTGGGTTTTCTTTGACTATCACTTTGTTATACAGAAAACTTAATATGTTCAGATACATTTCCTCTGTTCCTACGTGTTTCAAGTATTTTATCATGAAATTATTCTGGATTTTTGTTGAAGGCCCTTTCTGTGTCTTCTGAGATGATCACATAATTTCTGCCTATCACTCAGGAATTACTATGGTGAGGTTGTTGGGCTCTAGTGGAGACATTGTCATGACTGTTACTGATTTTATTTTTACACTGGTGTCTAGGCATCTGGGTTTGGGGTGATCATAATTCTAGATGCTGATAACTGCTCTGATCTTTGTTGGGTAAGTATTTCGTTCTTTTTATTGTTGCCCTCTCTGGCTTTTACGAGAGTGTGGTCACTGTAGTTTGACTGGTAGGATGTTTTTCTGGGATTTTCACAGGTGTCTCTACTTGGGATTTCAGGTAGAATATTTTTCTAGGTATTGGGAGCTGACTGTTAAGAGTAGGAATGGGCTAGAAGACATAAGGTAGTTTAGGGGATCCACAAAAGGAGGATAGCGGGTGTTCTACCAGGAGTTGCTTCCTTCCCTCATAAAGGAGTAGGGAGTGCAGAGAGGCCACTACAGACAGTCTTCTACAGAGTTGTGGATGAGCCTCAGGGATTGGACTTGGAGAGGAGAGGGGGAGAAGGTCTGAAACTCACCTACCTGATTCACTGGCCTTCCTGCTTCTCAGGCAGGCTTTGTGGGTGGGTTCCTGGGGTCTGCCTGCTGCAGCTGCGGGCAGAGACAATGGGGTGAGTTGGGAAGGAAGGTCATAGGAGAAGATCTGCATGATGCACTGGAAATGGAGACTGGAGAGATGAGAGTCACATTAGGTGTTCTGCTACAGTATTGGGGTGAGACCAGCAGATTGGACTTGGAGGCAGGGAGAGAAGTGAAGATCTGCAGTTAGCCTACCTGCTTCCCTCTTGTTGGCAGACGGAGGGGAATAGGGACAATGTTTGTCCTCTGCCTTTACCTACCACTGAAGTTCTTTTTGGTGGTATTCGTTCCTATTTGGTGATATATATTCTTGGATATGAGCATAAACATCAAGTGGATGTAAGCTTTCAGCAGTTCTTAGGATTCACCTCTGAGATTATTCCTCCTACTGGCACATGCAATGCCCCATCGAAGGACAACAAAATCAAACTCTATTCACAGGACTGCCATCTCAACCCACACCAAACAGTAATGCCTTTGAAAGGCAGCATCATTTTCACAGGGGAAAGAGTTTGGCTTCTAATTGAGGAAGATTTTGATTTTGAGGTTTACCTCCACAAAATCACCTGTCAAGAGTTCTGCAAAGATGCCTCCTGAGGGTGGCATGCTGTTTAAAGAAAAATAAACAACAAATATGTTCCTGAGTGTCCTTTATGCCTCTGCCAGAAGTCCCCCAATAAGAATCAAGAGAGGTAGTTGTTGCTGAGTAGGGATATGGAACTGGAGGCCAGGTAGAATACAGAGTATCAGGGAGCAGAGAAATCATTTCTAGGAAGACAGGAAGATCAAAGGAATCAAAACCCACATAAGTCAAAGCATAGAGTCCACTCTAGCTTGACCATCTCATCAGATTCATTTAGGAAACCCAAGATCAGAAATGAAGAATTGTAAGACAACCATTCATTATTAAGTGTGAAATATGAACCCCTTCATAGAATTCTTTGAGACTGCACTGATTGCATGCCACAGTACCAGCCTTACTGACCCTACATCCAGCGGGTATCTGTGCAGAACTCTTCACAGTCTCAATCAATGATGTTTCTTCACCTAACTTCTGTAAGGCCATTTTTATTCATAGTCCCTTTTGTGTCTCAGCATTATAAAATGGAACAGGAGCCCCAGACATATCAGCTTGGGACAAGTGCTTTCTTTGATGCTTCTGAAAGTTTAGTTTTATTTAATTGCTTTGCCTTAAAAATCACTGATCACTCATAGAATATCACTGTTTTTAACAAGAGAAAGTAAAATAACAGTCAAGGAAGAATCATGTCATAGAATACTTTTCTTGTTGCCCCCCTAGCCTAAAAATATCCTTTAGTCAGAATTTAATACAAATCTTTCAGATAATTGCCCATATTAAACTTTGTCACTCATTAAGCCCATGTGACTGCTATGTGCATGACAAAGTTTCCTAAGAGGGCAGTTGTCACACAAAGATACTTTAATTTTGCAAGTGTCGATTACCACAGTTATGGTGATCTCTTCAATAGGCCTATGCATATGCAAATTGCATTGCTATGCAGTTAGCTATGGATGTGAGGTATATCTCAATAAAGCTAGATTTTGGTTTTTCTTTTTGCTATAAAACACTGACAGTTAAACTCGGGACCATATGCATGTTAGGCAAGCACTCTTTCTTTGTGTTAATTTTCCATCCCAATAACATTATGAAGTGTTCATTTTTATATTAAACAAATGTTAATCAAATACACATTTAAAGTAAAGGCATGTTGAAAAGGAAATGCATTCCCTATTGTGGAATTGGGGCAGTGGCCAGGCAAAAGGCAGGCAGGATCTGAGGGAAGTAAATTTTCTTAGGTTTTGCTATTTGCCTTGAGTGCTCAGGAACCTACCCTTTAATCAGGATCTCAGATTTTATACTGATTGCTCTTGAACTGACAAGGGTTTTATCCTGCCCCACAGTCATATCTCACTGGTAGAAGTGCCTATTACATTTATCCTCCCGAGGACAGTGTTAAATAAATCAGTGAAAGCAGTCATGTCCAGACAATCTGAAAGTCCCTGTACAGTGGTGTTTGATAAGTATAAACAATTACATTTCCAAACCACAGTGAATTAGTCCCAGGCTACATAGCAGTCCCTCAGTCCAATCCAATGTTGAATCAGTAGAATGGTTTCCAGCTGTAGAATGTCTTTCTTGTTCTTTTTTTTTTCTGGTGAAAGATGGAAAGTCTGTACTGTTGCATATTCTGTGGATGTGAATTTTAGGACTATTTTGGAAATTTCAAACACTTTGTAAGTACCACTCTAGTTGACAATTCCTTTATCCACATAAAAACAGATGCATTATGTATCCATACAGGTGAAGATTTTGATAGTTACTGATTATTTCCACAAGGTACATGAATTAATTTTAGATATCCCCAAGTCTGGTACACAAGTTACGTATGTCAGTGTCTATTTTCCTTTTCTTTTTTTTCATTCTTTAAGAAAATGTATTTGTTCCTCTACAGCAGAAGTGGAGAAGTGGAATAAATCCGTGCAAAGCGTGTGTCGTACCACATTCTTTCCAGTGCACGCTTGTTACTACAACCTCACTCCCAGGTTTTCCAAATCCAGCACAAATCCTTCTAATCTGTTTTGGCCTTCATAGCTTCCTCCTCTTTCAGGCGGGCTTTCCTTTCCAGGTTCAAGCTTGTTAAAGACTCATGTCTTTTCACCGCCTTCTTACCCTCAATAACCATATAGATGCATCCTGCCACTGTCAGGGCAATCATTAAATAGCTGACCTTCACCCGGAGCCTGTTCTTTGCAGCATCAAGCATCTCAAATGAGATTGTCTCCGGGATTTCTTCCTCCTTCTTGAAGCGTCCTGACCACAACAGTATCTTCCTCTCGAAGTTCGTGGGTTTGTGCAGGGGCACTCTGTGTCTGTAAGATTGGGTTGGAGCTTTGGAACTTTCTTGTGGCTTGGTGCAAAATCCATTGATCCTCTTCAAGTCAGTGTTTCTGGTAGACCTTAGAGAAGAAGAAGCATTTCTTTCATATAACCTAAAGCAATGTCCAGCCGCCAAGCGCAGGCTGCGGAGGCTCCGCATGGTCGCCTGCTCTGCCGATGCACAGCACCCCTCAGCGGTGGCGGCGGCGCTGGCGCTCCCGTGTCTATTTTTCTTATATGGCCTTGATTAACAGTCAGATGCTGTGGGATATGGGCAATGGAGAGTGTAAGGTAAGGTGGAGCTTGACATCAATATCATCAGCTCCATTTAAGGTGATGCAATTCAAGCAATTAATGTCTTGAGAGTTGCTTTGTATAGGGCAGGCAAAGAGTAGATGAAAAATGGGTAAGAGATAACCACTGCTTTGTAAAGGCTTTATAATATGACTGGGAATACAAGTTATCTGATGATAATGATGAGAATAACAATAGTTCCCTTTAACTCAGTGTTTACTATTTTCCCAGCACTGTTGCTTAGTCTTTTTCAGGAATTGTCTCATTTAATCTGCTTAAAGACCTTATATGCTATGTACTACTGTGACCATTTGGCAGTTTCAGAATCAAAGGGTAAATATTATGGTTTCACGGCTAAAATTCACACAAGATGTCCTTGACTCAAAAATTTGAGCTGTAATACTTAAGTGTAGGCCCCCAGGTCCAACCAGAGATGATCAACATAAAACAAACTAAGTGATATTTTTGAAGAATTTTTGTCCCTTATTGCAATGTTTGGGTATTTTTTTTTACCTTATTGGTAATTTTATTATATATTATGGGTTCTGATTTTTGTTTTTATGGTGTGTGTGTGTGTGTGTGTGTGTGTGTGTGTGTGTGCGCATGCGCATTTCTCATTACTTTTCTTTGTTAGTGTTTTGGCCTGTTTTCTAGAGTATAAAAAGGAAGCATTGGGTTGGATAGATGGGGGGAGGGATGATCTAGAAGAAGAAGAAGAAGAAGGGAAAGTGTGGTCAGAACGTATGAAAACTATTGTTTTGAAAATTTAAAAAGTAAAATAAATTTTAGCTTTAAACCACTGTACTATAAATTTGGTATAAAGTATCCCCCAAAAGGCACATTTGTTAAATAAAGGCTTTGTTTCCAATTCAGTGGTGTTCAGAGGTGGGAATTTTAGGAAATAATTGAGTCACAAGGACTCTGGCCCTAGCAGTGAATACATTAATTGGCAGATTCACAATTTGATTAACTTATTGACAAGTAATGAAAATTAAGAGAAAATATGTTGCTTCATTTTTCTACATGTGTGTGTGTGTGTGTGTCTTCCTACTATACACGCTCTATCCCCTTCTTTCTCCCTGCCATTTCCAGCTTTCTTGTGCTGGATAGCTTTGCTTGACTACACTCTGCTAAAAATCTTCTGCCTTAAAGCATCTCCAAAAAATGAAGTGAGTTGATCACCAATAACCACTGAAACCTTGAGCTGAATCAATCAATCTTCCATCTGAAATATTTCTCTCAGGTAGTTTTTATTCTGACAGAAGTAATTGAATCATGAAACAGCTAAGTACGGGTAGGCAGGATACAACATGAATGTAAAATATGTAAGAGATCTCCAAAAATCACCCAGTTCATTTTTCAAACTAAATGGACTCGAATACTAGGAAAGCCAATTAAAGATCCTAAAACTGCAGCGTTCCAGATGGCTGTGGTAAGAAAGCTGGCACAGGGTTCTGACAGTCAACACAGGGAACAAAGCTAGCTAGCATCCCTGTCTTCATATTTCCAGTGTTCTCTATTCATCCTCTCCTAACAAGTTAGGAGACCAAGATTCTATAAAAAAAATATTTAATGGCAGAGGAACTGAAAGAAACAAACTTCAAACATTTTCATTTTTATTTCTGACTATTCTTTGAGCAATTTCTTCACAACTGTAAATAAAATATGATACATGGCGAGTGCAGCGAATTGAGAGATGTATATGACATAATCGTGTACCTAGGTTATTGTCTGAGATAGGGGCCAATACATTTCTGTCTACAATTATTCAGATAGCAAATGATGTTGAGTTCCAGTGATACAATTAGTTTGTGTGCGGCACGTACAAAGACAAATGACTCCACTTTTTCTGCCACTGTCTAGTTAACTCTGGTATTATAATATAAAATTAACCATAAATAAATATAAATTAAGTCAATTTGACCAAGAACACTTTATTAATAAAAACAAAGAATTGAATTTTACCTTTTCAGTCACAGTTTCCCGACGTCTGCACTAAGGTCTAACATGGGCTGTACATTAAAGTCACCAGGAGAACCTAAAAATGCTGAGGCCCACATCTTACTATTAAAGGTTTCATTTAATTGCAATAGCAAAAAGCTTAGATTGGAACTTTTAAGGTTCCCAGCTGTGTTCATAATATTAAGAACCACTACTTTAAAGGCAAACAAACCTATTTTTAGCACAAAACAGGCTAGAATGCAGATATGGATAGGTGTTGTGGGAATGTAGTGAAAATTAAGAATTGGCAAAAGCCAACTGACTAAATATAGTGTCCTATAGGAGATGATCATGATTTCAGAAAGAAAGAAAAAGAGGGCCGAGGGAGCACAACAGCATTAACACCACTGCTGCTGCTGCTGCCTCTGCTGCTAAAACTACTTTCATATTCAAATTGTTTCTTTAGACCCTATGTATACAGCCAAGCACATGAGCCTGAAAAAATGCTCTGGGGCTAGGATCATTGCTGTTATTTAATAGAAGGCATAGGTAAGGTCAGAGGCATTAAGAATTTTTTTATTTAACTTTTTTATTGATTCTTTGTGGATTTCACATCATGAATCTCAGTTGCATTCATTTCTCCATCCCTTTGCCTCTATCCTCTGACCTTGCAACCTACCCCTCCCAACATTAAAGAAAAATTTAAAAGAAATGAAAAATATCATTGTGGGAGCTGTAGTTTGACATAGTGAATCATATAATATACCCTATGGTTAATACATCTTTACTTGCAAGTGTCCATTGCAAAAAAAAAAAGTCGTTGGTCTGGTTTAAGGTCTCTGGTTTCTGCTACACTATTGAGGCTGGACCTCACTGGGACTCCTCTTGGATATCCCGTTTTTGACCTGTGTTATGAGCTCCAGCAGATCACAGATGGGGTGAAGGTTGGGGCGGGTCAACTCATAGGTATTGTTCTGGGCCTGAGCGGTTGTAGAGTTGGTCATCAGGTCAGCTTTGCCTCATTCTCAACACCAAGATGAGCTTTCCAAAACAATCCAGGCTAGCTGCACCTAAGTAGCAAGCAGCAAGAGCAGGGTTGGTTCCCCTGCTCCCACACCCTTGGGACTGGCTTGCCTACACCTATACCACCAAGGCCAGCTCTACTGTGCTGAACAGGGGAGCTGCAAGGCCTGCTCTTCCATGTTCTGCAGCTGGTGAGGGGCAGGATCATTTCTCTTGCCCAGCACCGGTGGCAAGGGGCATGGGAGGAATGTGTTTTTCCCTTGCCCTCACCACCACATGGCTTACAAGGGGTGGGGGCCAACTCTCCCACTCTCAGACACTCAGGGCAGGCTCACCTGTGCTCCTGCCAGCAGGGTCAGTACTACTGTGATGCCCAGGCAAGGTGCAGGGCCTGCTCTCCGGAAAGCTGCAGCCACTGAGGTTTTGATAATGTGCCAAAGTGTTAGTGTACAGAGAGAGAGAGAGAGAGAGAGAGAGAGAGAGAGAGAGAGAGAGAGAAATAAGTAAATCATAGCAACAACAAATACATAATATCAGACAGTTGTTACTCTTCTGGTAACAGAAAGAGGGCGAGGAGATATCACAGAGCATAAGTAGCTGGGTAGATTTAAGTTTTGGTAATGTAATTTTCCTTACTAGGTGATAGTTTCATAGTTATTTGTCTTATTTGGTTTATATACGTTCAAATGTGATTGTGAGTCAATCATGATTGTATAGAATGAGTACAAATAATCCAACTTTTTGTAGCAGTACATGTGAAAAGAAAAAAAAAGGAGAAAGATGAGGAATACAGATCAAGGGATACAGAACTTGACAAGTTTAGGGGTAGTGATTTAACTTCCAATGCTGGGCCCCAATGATTCTATATCAAGCTTACTTGTCCTACACAATCAACTGAACAATAGTAGTATGGGACCTACTTAGGTTTCATGTTCCTGGGAGGATCTTTGTGCCTTGAAGAATTGGCATTAACTAGGCAGCTGTAACCATGGGAACAGAAAGAGGAACATCGGTGGGTGAGGGATTGCTCTGATTTACTGACATGTACTTCCTAATTCCCACTAGCATCATCTAGAGCAGGTCCAGGAAATGTGGATAGCTGCGTGGTGCCACCAGATATCCGATTGCTGGCTTTCTACATGTGGATTTGCTATCAATGATTAGAGGAATCTGACTCATTGGGAGACAAAGATACACTGTGGTGGGTTGTGACAAATGAACACAACCTCCTACCCTACCTGCTAATAGATCTCTGTTTCTTTTCATTATTTCTTCTTTCTCCTGGTGACAGAGCTAAAATCTAGGGCCCTGAAACAAAAACTTTAAAGAAACTGTAGTTATTCATAGCTACATTGCATCTTTTGGTTGTTTTTATCTCACTTAGAGCATTTTATTGAGATGAATTTCATGCATGAATATAATGTGTTTTGATCAAATCCATCCCAAGTTTTTTTCCCTCCAATTCCTTCCATACCCCAGACCCCACTTTTTCCTCCCAACTTTATGATTTCTTTCTAAATTTAGTGCTGCTGTTGTGTTCACGTATGTAAAGGAACATGCATAGCCTATCAGGGACCATATATGAAGAAACTGACACTCTTCTTCCTGGCAGACATCAATTGCCAACAACAACTGTGAACCAGTTGTTCTCTGAATGTGGCAGGGCTGTTGCACACAAGAAACCAAATGACTGTGACTCCATGCACAAGAGCATCTCAGGTTTAAGCTGGTCCAAATTCCAGCATAGATAGAAGGAAGGCCTCACAGAGTCCCATTTCTAGCTTAGGAGCTATTGGCAAGAGAGGGCTGTCGATAAGATTGAATATGATAGAGATAATACGTGGAAGTATTACGAAGTCTTGGAGGTAGAGGAAAGGTAATGGTGTGGGGGATACCATATGT